ATTTGGAAATTGATTTGGATAATTTATGGAACGTATTGGTAATTTGTGAAAAATTTTGGTAGTTTATAGAAAATCATGGTAATGTGGTGAATTTATTGAAATTTTTTGTAATTTGTGTAACATTTTGTAACATTTGTGAAAAGATGTGGAAATTTTTGCCAAGTAATTTCAGTAATTTATGGAAAGTTATAAGAATTTGTGGAAAGTTTTGGTAATTTTTTTGAATATTTTGGTAATTTATAGAAGGTTTAAATAATTTGGGGAAATTTTAATAATTTATGGAATATTTCGGTTAATTTTGGAACACTTAGGTAATTTCTGGAAATTTTTTGTAATATGGAAGATAATGTGAGTTATTTATAAAAAGTTTCAGCAAATTAGTACCTATGTAATTTGAGTAATTTATTGAAACTTTTGGTAATTTGTGGAATTATTTTGGTAATTTGTGAAAAGTTTTGGTAATTTGTGAAAAATTTTGATAATTTGGGCAATTTCTTGAAATTTTTTGTAATTTGGTAGGTAATTTGGGTTATTTGTTAAAGGTTTTGTAAATGGAACATTTTGGTAATTTAGAAGAAAATTTGGAAAATTTAAAAAAAATTTAAATGATTTTTTAAATGTTTTGGTAATTTATGTCAAAAATTTGATATTTTGGTCAATATATTGAATTTTTTTGTAATTTGGTAGGAAATGTATATGAAAAGTAATTTTAGTAATAATTTATGGAAATTTTTAATAATTTTTGGAACATTTTGATAATTTATGAAAAGTTTAGGTAATTTTTGGAACATTTTAGTAATTTACATAATTTTAGTAATTTTTACAACATTTGAGTAATTTTAAAAGTTTTTGTAATTTTTCAAACGTTTTTGGTAATTTATCAAAAGTTTTGATAATTTTGAAGGTAATTTATATTATTTATTGAAAGTTTTGGTAATTTGCAGTGTAATTTTAATTAATCATTGAAATTTTTGGTAATTTTTGTAAATTCTTCGTAATTTTGGGATAAGTAATTTAGTGAATTTATTGGAGGTTTTCGTAATTTATAAAATGTTTTGGGTAATTTTTAGAACGTTTTGGTAATTTGTGGATAAATTTGGGTAATTTGTTGAAAATTTTGTTAATTTTTAAAAAAAACACTTTGGTAATAAATTGAAGCTTTTGGTAATTTTTGGAAAAATTTGGTAATTTATTTAAAGATTTAAAGGTTTATAGAATATTTAAAAGGTTTATGAAAAGTTTTGGAAACTTTAAGAACGTTTTGGTATAATTTATGATAAGTTTTGGTAATTTGGAATATTTATATCAAGTTTTAGTAATTTGTAGAAGTTTTGAGTAATTTCTAAAAAGTTTTACTAAAATGTGATGTATTTATATTATTTATTGAAGGTTTTGTTAATTTAGAGAATGTTTTGTAATTTTTCTCAATTTTGGTAATTTGGGATGTAATTTTAGTAAATTATTGGAATTTTTGGAAATTTTTCGTAATTTTGGAAGTAATTTAAGGTATTTTTTGAAGGTTTTGGTAATTTAGAAGTTTTTTGTATAATTTCTAAAACGTTTCGGTAATTTTTGGAACGTTTTTGTGTAATTTATGTAAAGTTTTAGTAATTTTTGAAACATTTTAATAATTTATGAAACATTTTGGTAATTTTTGAAAATTTTTCATAATTCATGGAACGGTTCAGTAATTTGTGGAACATTTTAGTAATTTATGGAATTTTTTGATAATTTTTGGAACGTTTTTGGATCGTTTATGGTAATTTTAAAAAGTTTTGATAATTTTTAAAACATTTTAATAATTTATGGAACGGTTCAGTAATTTGTGGAATATTTGAGTAATTTATGGAATTTTTTGGTAATTTTTGGAACGTTTTTGGAACGTTTTTGGCAATTTTAAAAAGTTTTGATAATTTTTAAAACATTTTAATAATTTATGGAACGGTTCAGTAATTTGTGGAATATTTGAGTAATTTATGGAATTTTTTGGTAATTTTTGGAACGTTTTTGGAACGTTTTTGGCAATTTTAAAAAGTTTTGATAATTTTTAAAACATTTTAATAATTTATGGAACGGTTCAGTAATTTGTGAAACATTTGAGTAATTTATGGAACATTTTGGTAACTTCGGATGTAATTTGAGTTAAATATTGAAATTTTTGTTAATTTTTGTAATGGTTTCGTAATTTTTGAGGTAATTTATTGTATTTATTGAGGGTTTTGGTAATTTATAAAATGTTTTGGTAATTTATAGTACTTTCTGGTAATTTTTGCATAAATTTGGTAATTTTTAGAACAATTTGTGTAAATTATGGAAAGATTTAAGGGTTTATGGAATATTTATATGTTTATGGAAATTTTTTTGGAAATTTAAAGAACGTTTTGGTATAATTTATGAAAAGTTTTGGTAATTTGGTTTATTTACATCAAGTTTTAGTAATTTGTCAAACATTTGAGTAATTTATGGAATGTTTTGGTAATTTGAGAGGTAATTTTGAGAATTTATGGTTAATTTTGGTAATTTTATGAACGGTTTGTAATTTATACTTAAATAATAATAATAATTAAACTAAAAATTCTCTTTTCTCACTGTTACAATAATGCGAATAAATTTTTTTGTTTATTTATTTATTTCGACACATTATTAAAAATTATAAGAAAGAAAATTAAGTTATAATAATAATAAGTTAAAATAATTGAAAAATGAAGTTAAAAATTCATTATAAAATTAAATAAAAAAATTAATAGTAAAACATTGAAAATTTCAAATATTTATTAATAAATTTTATTAAAACTGCTTTGTTCTCAATTTACCTTCTTTCTACATATAGTGAAAGGAGAAAAGAAAAAATTGATCTTTACCCGACCGAATTATTATTATTAATATAAAAAACATTCTAAGCGGAGGGAATGTAAAAATTAAATTTTTATTGCCTAAGATTATAGAGAGTTATTCACATATATAATAATAATAATAATAATAATAAATAGGCTCGTTAAACAAGGGTCATCACTTGGTATTAATTCCACTCATGAATTTTTCATCTCTTGTTAATTTACGATCAACTTATCAAAATGATGATATTAATAATAAATTTTCAATTATGTACACACATTATATATATATATATATATAGAGTGACACATTTGTTCTCCGAGGCACAACAAATAATCAAATGCAACTTCCGCTAACTCTCTATGTATTCAAGTGGCTTTCACGGGGCGCGTTTGGCCGAATAATTCAAGATAAAGGTCAGCGACAAGTGTTTAAAAGCTGTGAATTAACATCTCTATGAATGCATTCTTTAAACACAATTAAATGCACAAGCATTTGCATACAACAAAAGAAAAATACTAGTGCGATAACATTTTCAATTTTTCTCTGCATTGTTTTCTAGAAATATTTTTTTTCAAAAATTTTCATTCAGTTTTTCACTTTTCATTTCATATATTGAAAAATAAAAAAAAAATGTTGTTTTCGTTCTTTCTCCTCATTCTCGTTACTTTCGTTCAAACGATGAAGGTAAGAAAATTTTATTCTTTTAATTGAGAAACAAAAAAAAATTCAGAAAAAAAATTTATTTCCCCTGTAAATTTATTACGTAGTAAAATTAAAATTACCAAAAATTACAAAAAAATATCCATAAATTACCAAATTTATTAAAAATAAATCCCTAATTATTGACTACATTTTATTTTTACAGAAATTTACAGTAAAATTACCAAAATTTTCAAAAGTTTCAAATTTTTTTTTATTAAATATAACAATTTCCATAAATTACCAAAAGATTGAAAAAATTTTCTAGTAATGTGGAAAAATTATTAAAAATTTCCATAAATTTCGAAATTTCTCACAAAATAATTAAATAAATAATTGACCGAGAATTACTCAAAAATTTCCAATAATGTCAACAAAATACCAAATTTTTTTTATAAGTTTCCAAAAGTTACTAGTAGAGTAAAAAAATAACGAAAAACTTTCCCAAAATATTATAAATAAATCTATAATTATTGACTAAATTTTTTTTATACAAAATTTTAAAGTAAAATTTACTAAAAAATTTCCAAAAGTTTCAAAATCTTTTTTTGTTAAATAAAAAAATTACGAAAAATTTCCATAAATTACCAAAAGTATTAAAAAAAATTTCTAGTAAAATTAAAAAAATACTAGAAAAATTTTCACTAATTTACAAATTTTTTTCAAACATATAAAAAAAAAAAGAAAATATTACCAAAAGTTTAAAATAATTTCCATTAAAAAACAAATAAATTTTTAAAATCATTCTTAATCAATAAATAATTGCCCTCTGAAATTATGGATAAATTTCCAAAATTTCATAATTACGAAAATTTTCCAAATTTTTTAAAACTAAATTAAAAGTTAACTAAAATAACCATTTTTTAATATAAATTTCCAGTAAAGTGGAAAAGTTACTAAAACTTTTTAATAAATTTCGAAATTTCTCAGAAATAATTTAATAAATTGACCGAAAATTACTCAAAAATTTCCAATAAATAGTGTTAAAAAAATATCAATTTTTTTTATTAATATCCAAAAATTTCCAGTAGAGTGAAAAAAATTACCAAAGTTCCCATAAATTTCCAAATTTATTATAAATAAATCCATAATTATTGACTAAATTTTTTTTTTTTGTACAAATCTACAGTAAAATTACCAAACATTTTCAAAAGTTTCAAAAATTTTTAAGATAAATAAAAAAAATTACAAAAAATTTCCATAAATTATCAAACGTATCAAAAAAATTCCATTAAAATTAAAAAATTACTACAAAATTTTTCACCAATTTCCAAATTTTTCTCAAATATATCAAAAACAAAAAAAAAAAAAACAGAAAAAATTACCAAAAGTTTGAAATAATTTTCAGTAAAATAAAAAAATTACCAAAAAAATTCCATAAATTTTCAAAAATTTGCCAAAAAAAAAAAAAAATTTCAAATTTTAATTTTTTTTTTAAATTTCCTTTTCATTCTTATTTTCAGATTCATGAATTGATGACAGAAAAAGAAATTTTCGAAATATTTGGCACCACACATGAAAATGGTTATTATTTCTTTTGATATTTAAAATAGTTAATAAAAAAAAAGTTTTACCCTGTTTGTTTTTAATATTTAAATTTAATTAATTATTAATGAATTAATTTAAATATTAATTAATTAATGTAATAATTTAAATATTCATAAATGAATTAATTAAAATATTAATTAATTAATGTATTAATTTAAATGTTAATTAATCAATGTATTAATTTAAATGTTAATTAATTAATGTATTAATTTAAATGTTAATTAATTAATGTATTAATAAAAATGTTAATTAATTAATGTATTAATTTAAATATTAATCAATGAATTAATTCGAATAAAAATTAAAAAAATTAATTTAATATTTTTTTCATCAATACAGTCCCGGATTATGAAGTGGTGACAATAAACCATTCAATAAATAAAAGATCATCGGAAAAAACATTGAAAACAAGATTTTTTGGTCAATATTTTATTCTTGATTTGACACCAGCAAAAAATGAAAATTTTAAATACACAAAAGTTTGGAGAGGAAATGCAAATAATTCATTACCGACTGGAATCAAATTTACTTATTTATACGATGCCTATTCTGTAAATATTTTTAACTTTTTAATATTTTAATATTCACTTTGCTAATTTTTGTAAACAATAATAATAATTTTTTTTTTTTTTTTTAATAATAATATTTATAAAAATAATAATATAGAAAATAATGTTTAGGATTAACTTATTTTTTGAACTTTATAACTTTTATTATTCTTTTATTATTTTATTATAATTTTATAACTTTATAATTATAATATTCAGTAAATAAATTATGATAATTGTAATGTAATTTGTTTAATGAATGAATAACTTAATCATTTTATTTTTATTTTACTGTTCAATTTACTGCTTTGAATTTTTTTTTTAATTACTATAGTTATAAATTTTGTTTATTATTAAAAAATAAAAATATGAATTAAAAAAGAATTTTTAAAAATATTTAAACACAGGTTCATATAGAGAACAAAATTCATCGCGATGTGAAGAGATCGGCGTCTTTTGTCGTCAATGAGGACAAAAATGGTTATCCACTTTTTGTGAGTAAATATTTCGAATTTAATTGTTATTAATTTATTTCAAATTTAATTAAACCTTTTTATTAACAATTTTTTTTTTATTTTTTTTTTATTTTTTTTTTTATTTTTTTTTTATTTTTTTTATTTTTTTATAATAACAAATTACCCATTTGACGGTATTAATAAAACTTTTATTTACAAAATTTATTTTATTAAAGGATGGTACAATCGGAGGGAAAATTGCAATTCGTTCAATACCCGAACGTCTTCGATCAAATAATAATTTAACAGGAGATTTTAATTTCGTCGAGACAAAAGCAGATAGTAATTTAAATACAACACACAGTCATTTAATGTATCACATAAAACAAACTGAATTTGGTAAGTATTTTCTTTTCTTTTTTTGAAAAAAAAAAAAAAAAAAAAAAAAAAAAAAATGCAACTAGATAAAGAAAAATATTATCAATATAATCGAAACAATAAATAAAATAATAATTATTAATTATAATAATATAATAATATAATAATTGTTAATAATTATTAAAAATAAAAAACATAAATAATAAATTTCAGAAAATCTAACAATAAATTCAACTCAACAAAAACCAAACATTCAAATGGAAACATTGTATCCAGAAATAATGGTGATAATGGACGAAATACTATTTAGGTTTGTCAAAATAAAAAAAAAAAATAAAAGAAAAATAAAAAAAAATAAAAAATAATGAAAAAAAAAATTAAAAAAAATAAAAAAAAATAAAAAAAAAATAAAAAAAATGAAAATAAAAGCGAGCACGAGACTAGAAGAGAAGCGGCCCCCCACCACCTGCGGGAGAGGGGAGAAGTACCCGGGTGGTGGGGGGACGCTTCTCTTCTAGTCTCGTGCTCGCTTATAAAGTCTTAAAAAACCAAAGAATTTTTTATTTTTTTCTCGTTTTTTTGTTTATTATTTTATTTAAATAGACGATTCGACAACGATCCACTAAAAGCAGTTGAATACATTGTTCTCTTTTGGCACGGAATTGACATGAGATTCACAAATTTAATAAATCCAAATTTTAAACTCAGCCTCGTTCAAATTGTTCTCATGGAGGTAAATATTTAAATTACATTTAAATAAAAAAATCCCCAGAAAATTTAAATTACAAATAATTAAATTTTTTTTCTAACTAAATTTCAAAAAAAAAAAAAAAATTTTTAATAATAATAATAATAATTCTATCACTCGGTTGTCAAATTAATTAAATATTAAAGTTAATTATCACTCCGATCGTTGACTTTAATATTTAATTGATTTTTTTTTAAATTAAAAATTACTAAAATTAAAAAAATTAATTTTTTTAGGTAAATTAAAAATTACTAAAATTGAAAAAATTAATTTTTTCTTTAATAATCAAATTTTTTCTAATAAGGATACATTGCCATTTGTTAAAAATTCGAGTGCTGAGGGAAATATAATGATTGCAAATAATACAATCGAAGCAATGAGAGATTATTTTTATCAACTTGACGAGAATGCTCAATTTCGCATTAACGACGATTATGACCTGGCTATGCTTATGACTGGGTGAATATTCACATTTTTTTCTATTATTAATCAATAATTACTATAATTGAATTTAAAAATTAAATTACTAATTAAATTTTTCTATTTTTTTGATTACTTATTTATTAAATAAATAATAATTACAAATTAAAAATATTGAGAGCTAAAAAATAAGAAAAAAAAAGTAATAATAATTTCACTCGAGACGGGAATTGAACCCCGAACCCAAAGATCGTGAGTCAAGAGCCTTAACCAATAAGCCAACTTCCTTCCTTGAAAGATAATAATTAAAAATTGCTAATTATAAATTTCTTTCTTTCTTTCTTTCTTTCTTTTTTTCTTTAAAATCAAAATTTTATACGGGATTATTATTTATTAGTAACAAATAATTAATTATTAATAAATAATTTAAAATTAATAATAATTACTGATTAAAAATTATCTGCTAATAAATAATGATTCGAAATCACTATAATAATTACTATTAATAAATTACTAATTGCTAATTTTACTTATTAATTAGAAAATAATAATTCTACCCGAGGCGGGGATCGAACCCCGAATCTAAGGATCGTGAGTCTAGAGACTTAATCAATAAGCCAACTTTCTTTATTAAAAAATAATAATTCAAAATAATAAATTCAAAAAATAATTATTAATAATTACTTACTAAAAAATTACTTGTTAATAAATGTTTAAAATTCACTGTAATAATCACTAATTAAAAATTATTTATTAATTATTGATATTTAATAATAACTCTAAAAATTATTTAGTAAAAATCACTGATTGCTAATTACTAATTAAAACTTTTTCTTATTTCTTACTAAGAAATAACAATTAAAAATTACTATTACTTCGTGGTCCAGTGGTTAGCGCTCTCGACTCGTGTCTCAAGAGTCAAGGGTTCGAATCCTGTCAGCAATGAATTTTTTTTCCGCTGTAGCTTTCAATAGAAATTTGTAGAAAAATATTAAAAATACCAAAATACGGTGAAATAGTAATACAGACTTGAAAAGTAATGAACAATTACTAATAATTATTAAATTTAAATTACTAAAAATTACTAAATGCGAAATAATAAATAGAAAAGAAAAAAATATAATTAAATAAAAATTACTAATTGCAAAATAATAAATAAAAAAGAAAGAAAAATATAATTAAGTAAAAATTACTAATTCCTAATTACTTTTTAAATTTAATTATTATTACTTATTATTACTTATTATTACTTATTATTACTTATTATTACTTATTATTACTAATTTAGTATTAATTATTAATAATTGATATTAATGTAGAAAAAAAATTTTTTTTTCCTTCAGTTACGATATGTCCTTTAAATTAGCAAACGGTTGGGACAGATTAGTACATGGTAAGCTATTTAAATTTTTAATAATTAAATTAATAAATTATTTCAATAAAAACAATAAATTTATTTTTGTCTTAAAATTTAAAAAAAAAAAAAAAAAATTTCTTGCATTTTATTTTATTTATTATATTCAAAAAGAAAATTGTCTATCTCTAAAGGTGTCGCTCATGTTGGTGGCGCTTGTCGAAAAGCGAATAAAATGATAACGGCTACTGGAATTTTTGAAGATAACGGTGGTTTCAGGGGTATTATAACTGGATATCACGAATTGGCACATTTGTAAGAAAATTTAAAAAATGACAAAAAAAAAAGTTAAATTAAAAATTTTTTTTCGATTTAATTTTCATAAAATTTTTAATTTTGAAAATTTTTTTTTTAATTTAAAAAAAATTTTTTTTTTAATTTAAAAAAATTTTTTTTTTTAATTTTTAAAAAAATTTAAAAAAAATTTTTTTTTTACAGATTAGGAGCAAATCATGACAGAACTGATAATGCAACGTCGAAATTCTGTTTGGCTAAGGAGGGTTACGTAATGGGTGGACAATTTGGACAGCGAATGTTTTTCTTCTCAAAATGTAGTATTGCCGAAATGCAACAACAAATTTTGTGAATATATTTTTTTCTATTTTATTATTTTTTTTAATTATTATTTTTCTTATTATTTCTATTTTTATTATTATTTCGTATTATTTAATTTCTCTTTCATTTATTTTCCCTATATTTATTTATTATTTATTTATTTAATACCTCCAGTCTTTTTTTCTATTAATTCTATTTTTTTATTTTTATTTATTTATTATTTCTACTTTTTCTATTATTATTATTATTATTATTCTAATAATAATTTAATATTTATATATTAATTTAATAAATAATAATAAATTCTTTATGTATTTAACACCTCCAGTTTTTTTTTTTTTTTTTTTTGTGACATAAGGAGGTAAAAATTCTTTATGCACTCCCTTTTCTTAAGACCGTGTGGAATTTAGTAAAACAATAATAAAAATAATAATAATATCAATAAAAATAATTATACAATTGAAAAAAAAAAATTTTTTCTTTCAAGATCGGGAAAATCACCGTGTATGAAAAATGTTCCTCTGGTGAAAAATTCTTTACCAAATGACTTGACAAATAAATACAAAATAAATATTCGATTACCAGGACAATTTTTATCGTTGAGGGAACAATGTAATGGCAACACACCATGTTACGTGAGTTTATTTTTCATTTATATTAATTTTAATAGATGGATTTTTTTTAATTAAATTTTTTCCCAAAAGAAAATTTTAATAATGGAAATATTTTGTAATTTATGGAAATACTTTTTTTTTTACAAATTCGAAGCTTATTAAAAAATTTTTTTTTAATTTACAAAAAAAATTTTCTGTAAATTTATATTAAGAATTTTTTTTTGACTTAAGGGCATTTGAAACTTGATGACGTCACACATGCTTTGCACAAACTGAAACGTCATCAAGGTTCAAATGCCCTTAAAAGAATTAAATTGCAAATTGAAAAAAGAAATTTTTTTTTTTCTAATTCAAGGAGGACGAAAGAGTTTGCCTGAATCTTTGTTGTAAAAATGATGCGGAGCAACAATTTTGGAAAATTCCATTATACAAGAGAGCACCGGCTGCCGACGGTTCTCCATGTGGAGATGGAAAGGTATTTGTTGAAAGAACTATTTTTTTTTTTATAAAAATTATTCTTTTGGTAATAGTTATTTTCTATAAAAATTATTTTCCATAAAATTTACTTTTCATAAAAATTATTTTCCATAACATTTACTTTTCATAAAAATTATTTTCCATAACATTTACTTTTCATAAAAATTATTTTCCATAAAATTTATTTTCTATACAAAATAATTTTCCATAAATATTAATTTTTCATAAACTTTATTTTCTATAAAAATTATTTTCCATAAAAATTATTTTCCATAATTATTATTTTCCATAAAATTTACTTTTCATAAAAATTATTTTCCATAAAATTTATTTTCTATACAAAATAATTTTCCATAAATATTAATTTTTCATAAACTTTATTTTCTATAAAAATTATTTTCCATAAAAATTATTTTCTATACAAAATAATTTTCCATAAATATTAATTTTTCATAAACTTTATTTTCTATAAAAATTATTTTCCATAAAAATCATTTTCCATAAAAATTATTATTTTCTATAAAATTTACTTCCTATAAAAATTATTTTCCATAAAATTTGTTATCTATAAATAAATAAATACAATAAATAATAAAAAAAAAAAAATTAAAAAAATTAATTATGAAACATTTTAATTTTATTTTATCTTATTTTTTCGTTTTCTTTCAGATTTGTTTCAGTGGATTCTGTATGGGCGTCACACCAAGCATAAAAAATTAATTATAACAAAGAAAACTGTAAATAAATTTTATTCTATTTTAAGTAAAAAAAATATATTTATTTAATTGTATAATAAATAAATTTTCCCACACAAAACAAAAATTTCTTAATTATTAATTATTTCCAGTCCATTCACATTAAAATTTTCTTTTATGAATTTTTTTTTCAATGAAATTTTTATATTGTTCTCAAAAATTAACTGCTTTTTTTACTACTTTTAGAAAAATTTATCAAATTTGAAACGAAAAGTTCTCTTGTAATTTTTTAAATGATTGCGAACTTTGGGAGTTATTTTGATTTTAATGATAAATTGAAAACCGAGCCGACAGGAACGCCTTCCCCCTCCAACTCCACTCTAACCGAACGTGCAGATCGTAATTTAAATTTAAATTGTAAATAACTTTGAAAATACTCAACTATTCGAAAAAATGGAAAATAAACATTTTTGTTTAGAAATTTAAAAGTATTAATATCGTATTTTTGCAAATAAATAAAAAAAAATATTTTTTATTAATAATAATAATTGTATTGAAAAGTAAACGAAACTTACCCCTGGTAGGAAAAAAGTGACGATCTCAAAATATTAAATCGAAATAGAAAATAATTTCTTCACTCACCTGAAACAGAAACAATTAAACTTAATTAATTTCATTAATTTTATTAATTTCATTAATTTTATTAATTTCATTAATTTTATTAATTTCATTAATTTTATTAATTTTATTAATTTTATTAATTTTATTAATTATAATTATTTAATTAATATTAATTTTATTTAATAATAACAATTAATTTCAAGAAATTCAATAATAATGGAAATTATTTAATTATTTAAAATTAGATAAATTGTTGAAAATTATAATTATCAAAATTATCTAATAATTATTTTAAATTTTGCTGAATAAACAATAAAATAATTTTTTTTAGTTCTTAAACAAATTTTTTTCTATAATTTCTTACATTTAAAAAAAATAAATAAATAAGAAAGGAAGTTGGTTTATTGGTTAAGGCTCTTGACTCACGACCATTAGGTTCAGGGTTCAATTCCCGTCTCGGGTAAATAAAAAAAAATTAAAATAAGCTGAAAAAATACGAAATATCAAAGGAAAAAATTTTTAACTACAATTTGTTCAATAAAGAAAAATAAATAAAATAAAATAAGGAAAAAAAATATTAACAAGAATATAAAATTTTTTTTACAATTTTTTTTTCAAAAAAAAAAAAAAAAAAAAAAATAAGTAAATAAAATAAAATAAAATAAAGAAAAAGTATCAGAAGAAACAGAAATTTTTTTCTACAATTTCTTTAAAAAAAAAAATAAATAAATAAAATAAGGAAAAAAATATCGAGAGCAGAAGAAATTTTTTTCCTACAATTTCCTCTGTATGTCAAGGAAGAAGAGGAGGAAGAGAAAAAAATTTATAACAAAATTATACACGCACAATTGCACTTGACAAATGTACAAAATTTGCACTTAAATAGATTATTCATTCATGTGGAAAATATTTTTCCTTTTTTTTTTCTTTCATTTCTGCGCCTTCTTTTTTATTCGCCCAATTATAATAAAAAAGAAATAAATTATTTTCTCCTCGACAATGTTTATTTTGATTTTAATTAACAATAGAAATTACAAATTTTAATTTAAAATCAAAATAAATAACGTCATTCGGCTAAAAAATTGGTATTTAAAAAGCAAAAGGAAAACAAATTTTCGCTTATAATTTTCCTTTAAAATAAATTATCATTTTTTCCATCAAAAAAAAAAAAAAAATAAAAATTACGATTATTTTTTTATATTTTTTTAAAAATTATTTCTATTTAATTTAAACAAATAATTTACCTTTTTTGGGAATTACTCTTTTATAATAGCAAAATAAATAAATTTATTTTTTTTAATGTAGTTCATATATTTATTTTTAATTAAAAAAAATTTTTTGTTCACACTTAAAACATTAAAAATTAAGAAAAAGAAAAAGAAAAAAAATGATTTTTTTTCTATCACTTTTGTGCGCGATTTTTGTGCCCTTCACAAATTGTTGGAAGGTAATTTTTTCACTGTGTTTGATAAAAAAAAAAAGAAATTTTTTTATGTTTAATTGTAATTTTAGTTTTTTGGAAAAAATTTTTTGATTTTCGATTATAGTTTTATTGCTAACAAAAAAAAATATTTATCTCTAATTTTAGTTTTACTAACAAAAAATATTTTTTATTTTCAAGTTTAATTTTATTTTTAACAAAAAAAATACTTTTTTTGAATTTTAGTTTTATTGCTAACAAAAATTTTTTTTTTATTTTCAAGTTTAATTGAGTTTTTAACAAAAAAAATATTTATTTTCAAGTTGCATAATGATATGACAAATGATGAAATTCAGGAGCTATTTCAAACGAAACGTGAATTTGGTAATTTTTTATATAAATAAATTATAGAATTAATTGAAATTGTTTATATTTTAATTAAATGATATATTTAATTTTTGTTATAATAATAAAAATAATAATAATAATAATAATAATAATAATAATAATAATAATAATAATAATAATAATAATAATAATAATAATAAATAAATAAATAAATAAAATTTACTAAATTTTTATTAATAATTAATTTATTATTATAAATAATTCAAATCTGTTGAAAATTAATTAATAAATTATTTATTACATAAAGATTGTAATCAGTTACTTATTATAATTATTTAATTTAAAAAAAATTGTTGATAAAAATAAATAAATTAATCTAATTAATAAAAAACAAAAAAAAAATTTAATTAAACGTTATTTATAATTAAAAAAAATTTTTTTTGTTTAAATTTTCAGTTCCGGAATATGATTTAGTTAAAGTAAGGCACAGTGTTCATAAAAGATCGGCAAAAACAATTTTAAGAGCGAGAATTTTCGATCAAGAAAAAACATTGTATTTAGAACCAATTGAAGGTTTATTAATTGGCGAACACACAAAAGTTTGGACGGCAAAAAGAAAATTTAATGGTTTCGATTACACACAAGTTCCAAACGTATGTAATTTTTATTCATTTCATTTTTATGTTGATATTTTTTTTTTTTTTTTTTTTAATTACTAATATAAAATAATTATGAATTTATGTGATAATTTAAGAAAAATAAAAGAAATTTTGTTCTTTACTTGGCAAAATAAATAAATAAAAAATGATAACAAAGAAGTGAAAAAAATTAATTTTTTTCTTTATTTAGCAAAAAAATAAATAAAAGAAAATAAAGTTACAAAAAGAAAAATTTTTTACAGGCAATGAAAAATATTGGACAACTTTATCAAGATGTAAGGAATGAAGCAGCGATTACAGTGAAAATTGACGTGATTGGAAATAAACAATTTGTAAGTAAACGTAATTTTTTTTTTTTTTTTTTTGTATTATTTACAAAATAAGTACGAAAAAAAACATTATTCCCTCGTTTCTTGCAGGATGGAATATTTGGACGAAATTTCGGTATAAAATCGTTACCAAGAAAATATCGTTTTCGTCGCAATGTGTCAAATAATTCTCACATTGAAGATTTGCATTTACCGGATCATATTGTTTATAAAATTTACAATTCACCGACAAATATTACTCAACAATTACGTAAGTTAAAAAATATAATAGAAAAAAGCAAAAAGTAACCAAAAAAATGTATTTACATCAATAATTAATTAATTTACCCTACTAATAAATTAATTTTTACTACTAATTATTTTATTTACATTAATTTAAACTAGTAATTAATATGTTTACATAACACTACTAATTAACACTAATTAATTTATTTACATTGATAGGCACTACTAACTAATTAATTTTCACTACTAATTAATAAATTTACACTACTAATTAATTAATTTACATTGATTTACACTACTAATTAAATTATTTACATTGATTGAAACTATTAATTAATTAATTTTCACTACTAATTAATAAATTTACACTACTAATTAATTTATTTACATTGATTGAAACTATTAATTAATTAATTTTCACTACTAATTAAAAAATTTACACTACTAATTAATACATTTACATTGATTGACACTAATAGTTAATTAATTATCACTACTAATTAATTATTTTACATTAATTTACACTACTAATTAATTTATTTACATTAATCTACACTACTAATTAAATTATTTACATTGATTGAAACTATTAATTAATTAATTTTCACTACTAATTAATTTATTTATATTGATTGACACTACTAATTAATTTATTTACATTAATCTACACTACTAATTAATTTATTTACATTGATTGACACTAATAATTAATTAATTTTCACTCTTAATTAATTATTTTACATTAATTTACACTACTAATAAATTTATTTACATTGATTGACACTACTTATTAATTTATTTACATTAATGTACACTAGTAATTAATATGTTTTGATTAATTTACACTACTAATTAATTTATTTACATTATTCTACATTAATTAAATTAATTAAATGCAAAAAAATAATACTTTTTTTCAAATTAAACAAAAGCATCGAAAAGGTATTCCACTGAAGAAGTGGTTACAAAAACAATTGGCTCCAGAACAAAAAGATCGGCACCAAATATTGTTTATCCAGAAATTTTAGCTTTTGTTGATCAACAATTATTTACGTAAGTTCGATTTTTATTTACATTTAATTTTTTTTTTTTTTTTAAATCTCCATTCTTTAGTTTGAAAAAAAATTATTATTAATATTATTATTAAGTAATTTAAACAATAATATTATTATTATTATTTAAATAATGATAATAATAATAAAAAGAATAATTTCCAAAAAAATTTCAATATATTTTTTTACTTCAGCGTTTTTTGAACGAATAAAAAAAATTATTATTATTATTAATTAATTAGAATAATAATAAAAAGAAAAAATAATTTCAAAAAATTTATTATATTATTTTCAATTTATTGTTTTTGATCGAATAAAAAAATTAGTATTAATTAATTTAAAAAATAATAAAAAAAATTTATTAAATTTTTTTCAAATTTAG